AAAGAGCTGGTGGGACAAGCCTAAGCTAAAGCTGAGCATTCATAATTAATATTAAGTCTCTAAGTCTTTATTTGGGAGCTGGTTGGTGGCCCAAAGAAAATACCAATCATAAATGGTACCCCACATGGTGCACCAAATGTTTTAATTTTGGCACACTGGCTGTGCCCTAATCTACTGCTATCTCAGCCAGCAATTGCAACTCCACAGTTATTGGTCTATTAGTATTCTAGCCTGGCAAGAATTCTGCTCCCACAGGCAGGCCCTGTCACTGGTGCTAAATGAAGCTTTAACTAAATCCACTAAATCCCTGTCATTTTAATTATGAATAAGACTCGAGAGTCAAAGGCTGGGGTGAAAACCTGCCAGCTCAGAGAGGCTGAGTAGCAACTAGCTAAACCTCTCCCCTTGCTGGCAACCACAGAAGACCTGTACCAAACCAGAAAAAGCTGCGCCACTCCAAACCCCACTCTACGACTTCCTGTGTATCTCTCCAGGATGTCCTCTGAGGTGCTATTACTTTCTGTCAACTAGTTGATAACACAGCCTCCTGACCCAAGGTTAATTTTATTTAATTAACACAAATGCAAACTCACAGTGTAATCAAAAGTCCCCCACAGGCTGTGAAGGCAGCCATCTCTTTGTTCTCCCCCTTTACATGTATGTATTTGTAAACATAAATTTATCATTCAAGAGCACCACCCAATTTTCATACCAAAGGCTTATCTAAATTTGACATTGTTTTATGTGAATCAAAAATGGTTACAGCTTAGTTTCCTTTTGGTGTGAACAAAGTGATCATAGGGGCTGTAGCTTTATGGATGTCTGCTTATTCTTAGGGATTACTAAGTTTCTACTTTTCAACACATACAGCATTATGTCACCTCTTCACACTTCCAACCAAATCTGTAGGAAGCATCTGGAGTAAGTGCAGAGAGTCTGTGCTTGCTCAAAACTATGTGTTCTGCCTTATTCATCTGGAAGTGACTAATCCCAACCCTTGGGTTTTCAGTGAGCAGAGATGGATGCATGTTTCAGGGGTTTGCTAACACTCACCCACTGAAACACAGAGGACACATGACATCACCAGTGAGATCCTGAAACTGTCACTCCCTCTGCCCTAAGAGCTGCTGAGGTACTGTTCAGCACTGTGAGAACTGTTCCTTGTTTTGTAACAATGCTGAGTGACTAGAGATTGACTATCCCATCTCTGAAACACTTGGAGCCAGAAGTGTTTCAGGAGGTTTTATTGCTGTTTGATTTGGGAATAGCCACATAAACTTAATGAGATAGTCTGTGGATGGGACCTAATTCTAAAAAAGAAATTTACTTACGCTTCATATGTATCTTACACACATAGCTTGGAGATGGCTATATATGGTATTTTTAGCATGCCTGTGCAGTGTTTGTTTGCCTGTTTAGAGTGCTGGGATACTAGGCAAGTGCTTTTCCATTGAGCTACACCCACATCCCTCTGCCTGTGTATTGAATGTGATCATCACATTAATTCAGATACAGAATTTTACACTTGTGGGAACCTTTCAGATTTTAGAGAATTTCAGATTATGGATTTTGCACTGGAGATGCTCACTATACTGTGACTACTCAAACTGAATCTCAAAGTTTCTCAAATAGAATTTTAAACTCCGTTTAATGTATTTATGTGAGTGCTCCAAAACACTGGTTCTCAACTCTGGCTCCATATGAAAATCACGTAGAGTTGTTTCATAAAAATATTGGCACCTAGCTTTCCCTTCCCTCTGGCCAATGCTCTTAAGATTTTGGTCTAACTAACTTAGAAAGAGGTTGGGCATCAGTATTTTCCAATCAGAAAATGGTTGGCTACCCTGTAACATTCCTGTCACTGTTGTACCAATAGACATATCATTGCTGTCTGGTTGGTACCATAGCTCACAGGGATCACAGCTAGGTAAGACTTGATGACTGACCCCCACTCTCATCCCCCAACAGCCTACATAGCACCTTCTGGCACTTCAAAAGCCAGCTAGAAGGGAAGACACTTCTAGATCAGTCCCAGCAGACAGTAAGTGACTGTGGAGTTCTTGGCTCTAAATGGGCACTGGTATCATTCCTGCTACTCCAAGGCTCATGGAATAATACAAAAGAGGTGGCAGAAAGATCCTAAGAGCCAGGGCCCTTGCATTCATGAACTCACATCAGCTATGGTTGCCTAAACAAGAACAAGCCAGTCAACATTCCATCATGGAATCGGGGAGATATAAAGCCCATCTCTAGCTGAGGAGATATTGGCAGTTGATGGCTCTTGGGAGAGGATAAATCACTTTTCTTCAGGAGTGTAGCCTCTGGTAGGGGTTGTTCATGCTCCAGCAGATGCCCATGCATACATGGGCAGCACTCACTATGACTCAGTGGGTCAGAAAAAGAAAAAGAGGATGAAGTTAGAAGGGATGTGTATGCTGAGGGCATTGAGAGAAGTTAGGGGGAGATGGAATAGGTATAATCCAAAATACACTGTATATATCTCTGAAATTAAAGAATAAATAAAAAATACTATTGAAAAATGCATTAAAACAGAAAATAGAAGGAAACTACTTGAAAAGGTCAGCAGAGGCATGAAGAAGGACAAACAAGGGTAACTGAGAGGTAAATATGATCAAATTATATGGTACACGTTTATGAAAATGTCATAATGAAAGAGATTATTCTGTACAGTGAATATATGCTAATAAGAAGCTTTACTTTTATGGGATATTAACAGATGTTACTTAAGGCAAGTGTTTTGAGGTGAAATTAGTTTGGAATGTACTGGTTATCTTTACTGTGAGACTCCTAAGAACTTTAAATAGTATGCAGAACTGTAAGTGTCTGTGATTTGAGTTTCCAAGGTGTGTTGATGAATATGCAAGCTTAACCTACATGGGATGAATTTTTTAGGACTTGTTTTGGAAAGAAGCCCTTTATACCAGTGCTTCCCACATCCTAGCTAATGAAGGGCAGCACTAAGTATCATTTGGCAAGCTTATTAAAACAATGATTCATGGGCCACACCCTAATGCGGGAGGGGAGAACACATCATTCAAATGAACAAATTGAAGTGATACCTATGCATACTCATGTTTGGGGATAAGAGCTATATGGATCATAACACAATAGAAAAGTCTATAATATTTGAAAGGCCAGGGCTGGGAATATAGTGAATCTGGTAGAGTACTTGCCTAGCATGCCCCAGGCCCTAAGTCCCATTCCCAGCACTGCATAAACTGGGGGTGGTGGTGCACACCTGTGACCCCAGCACTTAGAAAGTGGAAGCAGGAGGACCATAGGTTTAGTTACTACCCTAAGCTATGTGTCAACCTGTACTGCATGAGACCCTGTCTGTGTGTGTGTGTGTGTGTGTGTGTGTGTGTGTGTGTGTGTGTGTGTGTCTACATCAATGCTGAGCAGCGAGGAAGCTCAAACTGAACAGAGCCAGATAATAGCATCTGCTATGATGTGGACATGAAGTCCTCCTCAAAATGTTCTGATTTTGAGACTTGGGGTCCAGCATATGGATCCAATCACTGGGAGGTAACTGGATCATGAGGGCTCTGATATAATCAGGACTAACTCCTTGGTAGGTTGATAGCTTGATGGCATGTACAGGAAGATGAGGGCCTAGCTGTAGGAAGCAGGTCACTGGGGTATGCACTGAAGGATGTTGTATCCTTGGCCCCTTGATATGTGCCTCTCAGCCGTCACAAGCTGAACCCTTCTGCTCCACTGCATGCTTCCTGCCATGCTGCTGTGCCTCACCATGACCTAGAAACCATGGAACTACGTGGCCATGTGCTGAAACTAGATAAATTTATGCCAGGCATTTTGTGACTGTGATGTAAGTCTGACTGACCAAGTCATTTACTCATGAGATAAAAATGTATATATTTATAGCTTTCTTGAAAAATAATGCTAAATGTTGAAACTTGATACTGTAACATGACTACTTCAGAATCTCCTAGAACGAACTGTCTTTATCACTAATTAGAAAACAATGTGTAGTGACAGACAACCCATCTTCTCTTCGCAGAGTTGATGGGCCCATGCCAGTTGAACAAACCCAGTGGTGCCATCCTTCCAAGCAATCTCTCCCAGATAAAGCTCTCGAACTCCTCTTCATATGAAAAAATTTCGGAATGCATATTTGTTTATTCCTCGGTGCTCTCAAAACTTTGCCATGTCATCCGTCTGGTCAATAAATCATTTCAGGGCTCAAAGAACCTACTATGGTTATTAGACACTACACATATGTACCATGTTTTTAAATTTATTTATTTACTGATAGGGTCTCATATATCAAGGCTTGCTTCCAACTTGCTATGCAGCTGGGAATGACCTTGAACTTCTGATCCTGTCTTAACCTCCTGAGCACTGGGATCACATGTACGCATCCACCATCTCAGTTGACATGGTCTGAGGATGAATCCAGGGACCCATGCTTGCTAACCAAGCAGTCTCCCACAAATCTGCAGCCCAGGCTGTACCCTGTTCTTCGTTTATAGGCTATTTCACACGAATGATACTGCATCTATAGTCACAAAAACATTTAGGGTTAAAAAGGCATAATCATATATAGCCAATAAGAGCCACTGAACTTTTCATGTACTAACAGAGTGAAAAGTAAGAGCAAAGAATATGTCAAGGCTCCTACATTTCAAAATAAATCATTATCTACTTCAAAAAATATAGAAATTATATACAAGAAAAAAGCTAAACACAGATATAACTAGAGCAAATTTATGATGGCAAGACTTTCTACATACTAATACAGCTAACAGTCACTGAGAAGTCTCATCACACTCAACCTTGCTACTACTAGGCCTATTTCTCATGCTCAGAGAAATTAAGCAAGTCTGACCAAGTCAGCTGTGAAGTAGGAGTCAAACACCAGGCTGGCCTCACCTGGACCCATCTTCACCAGCATGTCTTACTACTGCCATGAGTCTGGGGTGGTAGCCCCACCCCTCCCCCAGCCCCAGATGCATTACCTCTTTGATTCGCTTGACTAGAGCGTTCTGATCAAAAGCAACCGCTTCTGCACACTGGTGCAGGTGATCTTGGTACCGTAGGCAGAGCTGTAACACCTGCTGAGAGTCCAGCTTCTCCAGTTTGGCATTTGTTGGGGATGTCTGTCCACTCAAGAGCCCTTCAAAGGAGAGAGGGGAAAAGAGAAATGAGAATTACTGCTGATAAACTTGTGGCTAACCTAGCTGAGGTTCACGGAGGCAGGAAAGAGACTTGAATCTTGTGTTTTCTGCTCTTTTACGGAATGCCGACCACTCACGGGCTGCTTTGGCCAGGCTCTGCCTCTGCATTACTTCCTTAGCCCTGTTTTCCACACAAGGAAGCCAGGACACAGAGAGGCCGAGTGACTTCTGATCATCATGAAAGGAGCAGTGGCTTCCCTCAGACCATGCTCCTGGCCTTACCACACTACTCTGAAGTACTAGGAAGACATCTCTTCTTGAATGAAAAGGAAGGTGTCGTTGGTTGTTTTCTTTCTCTTTAGCTCTTTGGGGGCCTGCCAAAATCCCAAATAAATCACATATGGAGACTTATTCTTAATTATGAATACCCGGCTTTAGCTTGGCTTGTTTCTTGCCAGCTTTTCTTAATTTTAAATTAATCCATCTGTCTTTTGCCTCTGGACTTTTATCTTTCTATTTTTGTATATTTTTCTTTCTTACTCTGTTGTTCATTGTGTAGCTTGGGTAGCTGGCCCCTGATTCTTCCTCCTTCTCTTGCTCCTAGATCTCTTCTCTCCCAGATTTTTTTTCTTTTATTAATTCTTTCTGCCCACCAGCCCTGTCCATCCTTTCTCCTGCCTCACTATTGGCTGTCCAGCTCTTTACTAGACCATCAGGTATTTTAGACAAAGTATCATAGCTTCATAGAGTTAAACAAATGCAATATAAACAAAAGTAATATATATCTTATAAAATATTCCCCAACAGGAAGGAAGATGCATTTACTTAATTTTAATTCCTATTGGTTACTAATGTGGTTATCTGAGAAACTGAGAAAAATATATAAGGAAATTATAATAATTTGATACCAAAATTAAAACAAAAGCCAGACTGCCAGCTAATGGGCCTGAAATGCTGCATCTTTCCCTAACATTAGTTGGCTTAGCTGTAGAACACCAATAAGCATAGAAGACTATGTTCTCAACACTTTTATATTGAACCACCATGCTTTTCTATAGGGGCATAGGTCAGGGTAAAATTACTACCATCAACTTCAAAAGAAATCAGTTCAGTTACAGAGGCTACTACACTTGGTCAGAGGGCAAAGTCCTGACTAGAACTTAAGTCCATGGACTTTTATTTGCCAAGGCAACAGTTCTGTAAGTGTGGTATCAAGCAAGCCCCTCCTATATATCCTCAATAATTACTGACATTGTATCTACTGTTATTAACCTATTAAAAGTTAAGACTGATAAAATTCTTTAGCGTTAAATAATTGCATGCTTCTCAAAAATACTTGAAATAATAGCAGCACTTCACAGATTAACATATAACCTATTTTGAGGAAAATATTTCTATTTTCCAAAACAAAAATGTCAGAAGGGTAATACTGGTTTATATTTTCAGAAGTCTTTTGTTAGCAAAATCTGAAAGTCTATTTAAGGGGTATCAGGGATTTATTAAGATAAGAAATGAGGAAATACATTCACAAATACAGGATATGTTAAACCCAATTACAGAGTCCTTGGAAAGCTGGAGACCAATCACATGCTACTTCATACCCCATGACCTGGCCTTCACCACCCAAGAGAGAGTGTGACCCCCCCCACTTCCTTAAGAGGTTATGTAGGCAGACAAGAAGCACCGCTTCTATCCGGCTAGGTAGCCCCAAGTCATTAGTGGAACGAATGCCCACTACACTTCTTCTTCTTCTTTTTTTTTTTTTTTTTTTTTTTTTTTTTTTTTTTTTGTCTAAATAAGAAGGTTCTAAACCTAATACAAAAGCATATACAATAAGAATGATTATCAAGTATTGTCCAGGAGAAAGAAAGGGTAATAACATAAACAAATATGGAACTACAACCAACAAGAACAACATCAAGCAAGAAACACATACTAGATGTCCAGAATACAGGTAAATGGCAAATTACAGAGATTACTCCAATAGCTGTCCTATCCTGAAGAATATAAATCTAGTACCTGATATGTTCTTAGTTAAGATATGAGTGGAATATAAGTATAACCATCAAAGACCTGAGAAGTAAAATAATATTACCTGAATGAACAGGAAGTGCAAGCAAGCAACTTCTGAAAAATTGCAAGAAATGACAAAGACCTATGACTGTCCGGATAGTCATCCAATGTTGCTCTACAACGTTGGGGCATCTACTCTTGACTATGGGTCTAGAATATCTGACAGACCATTATCAGAAGCAGGAAAGTTTTGAAAGACTGTCCTACCCGGTCTTGGCAAGGTTCAGCAGTGACTTTTCCTTATGTCTTGCTCGTCCAGAATGGACAGAGTGCTTACTGTCAGCAGCCAAGGCAAGGGCAGTTCTATGCCCGACAGGTCATTTTTGCCAAGACGAAGACAAATTCCATATGGAGTGTCTTCAATGCCCAACATCCTCTCAGGAGTAGACTGGTGCTGCCAGGAACAATAGTGTCTCAAGTCAACAGAATTCTAAGTTATTAGCCTCCTCCTGATCATCGTGCTGAGCTATGCCCAGAGAGGCTCATGGATACGTGACCTTTGTTGTGACTGGTAGAAGGAAAGCTGGCTTGTGGTTTGGTGCTTTATAAAGGGTGTGCTGATGTTTAATAAACAAGTTCCTGCTTTAAAAAAAAAAAAAAAAAAAAAAACAAAAAAAAAAACTGGCACTTAATAATTGTGATTTGAAATGAGAACGCAATGACACCCTCACCCCACCAAACAGCGGAAGCATTAAACATGGACATCAAAATGTAGAAGAACTGTAATTCACATAGGGCTTGGTAAAAATTCAAAATGGCTAAAAGAGTTTACTAAATTCTTTTTGATCTTTCAGTGTATGTGTGTGTCTGTATGTGTGTTGTAGAATATTAAATGTGTGTTATATTCAAAAAAAAAAAAAAACAGTTAAATGCTATATTCTTTTGGTCTATAAAGTGTTTGAAGATTGTCTATCCATCTTATATATATATATATCTGTATATCTAGAAAACCTAACTAACATGACTATAAATATGACAAGCATGGGTGACTATTGACCTATACCCACTATAATCTTTTCAATGTTTTGCTTAATAGAAAATGATAGATCTTATTATCTCCTCTGCGTGTAAGTTGCCATTTCTCCTCACAGAATCTTGGGAAACTCTACTACACACTTCTGAGATTGACACTGGTTTGCAAATTATGTCCAAATACTTATCACAAACATAGTTTGACCTCAAAGACTCCCTTTTGGGTACTGGGGATCCTGTGACATCTGCCCCCAGGTGGCAAATTCTGAGAATCACTCATTATGCCATATTGTGCTGTTCTTACACTAGAGCACAAGGAGTGTAAGACATATGATGATGGGCAAGTGCTGGGTCGCCCATGCCAAAACTCACCCTGTTCCCTTCCACCATCAGGCCCTTGCTATTTTCGTACATTGGAACTCAACCCAAAGTTCTTCCCCAACAGCATGATACATAGTGGGCCATTCAGCTGTGCTGTGTCAAGAATCCTCAGGCATGCTGCACAGTGCTCACATGTTCATGGGACTCAGTACTTGGGAGGCGGGAGCATGAGGATCAGAAATTCAAGTTCATCCTCAACTATGTAATGAATCCAAAACTAACCTGTGACACACAAGATTGTGTCAAACAAAGTAATGAGTTATATGCCAGGGTACAATTTACATTTAAATAATTTACTTGTAAGTGGGATTTTTCTTTTTTACCTTTTATTGAACAATTTTCAAACTATAGAAAACCAGGAAGTAAAAGAATACCCAAATACATCCAGGTTCCACAAATCAAATTTTATAATATATTTTGAGCCATTAAAAAAAAAAAACGACATTAGCCAGGTGGTGATGGTGCACACCTTTAATCCCTGCACTCAGAAGCAGAGGCAGGTGGATCTCTGAGTTTGATGTCAGCCTGGTTTACAAAGTAAGTTCCAGGATATCCAGGGCAACACAGAGAAACTTTGTCTTTGAAAAAGACCAAAAAGCCAAAAAAAAAAAAAAAAAAAAAAGCAGACATCATAACACCTCCTTCCATAAAAGACATCTGTCCACATACTTACGGTTAATTTTCATGTTAAATAAAGTTTCTAATTTAGCTAGGAACAGAGCCACTGCTATTAGTTTTCTAGTTGTCGTTAGCTCATGACAGAAATTCACACAAAGCAGATGTTTACTGAACTGAAACCTGGCCTAATGGACTCCATTTTTAAGTGGTGGGTTTGCAAATGGCAAACCCTGGACATATTTCCTAAGAACATGTTGAAACCACTCTTTCTATACAAAATGAGGAGTGGACTCCAGGGACTGGGGAGGTAAGGATCCAGACAGATGTTAATAGAGCCAACAAACTGCCAACTTCATGTAAAGGGCTAAGTGGAAAAATCTCGGGTGTTAGAAATTTGGGGCCCATTTTTCTGAGTTCTTTTATGTTAAACATCGTAAGAGTTAAAACATAAAGCACAGTACAGAGCCATGTGCTTATTAAATTAGGCCACTGCCAAACTGAATTTCTCAACCCTTAGAGCTTAGTTGTAAAATTAGAAAATTAATAGTATGATGTTGGACACATTTTTTTTTTAATGACAGAATCTAGAAAGTAGACTCTATTACTTTGGCAAAAGTTACTGGGAAGGTATAATTAAACAACATGCTATAAAAAAGAAAGAAAGAAAAATCCCTCTGTGTGAGCTAAATGCTAGTGTCCTCCTCAAATTGCCATTGAAAATCCCACAGATACTCATTTCCACCTCCCAGGACTAGGATTATAGGTGTGCATCGTGTGTGTGTGTGTGTGTGTGTGTGTGTGTGTGTGTGTGTGTGTGTGTGCACGTGTGTGTATGTACGTGTGTGTCTGTGTGTGTGTATGTACGTGTGTGTCTGTGTGTGTATGTGTGTTTGTGTATGTGTGTGTGTATGTGTGTGTGTATGTGTGTGTGTGTATGTGTGTGTGTATGTGTGTC